CCCGGCGCAGACCTCCTACCCGCCCGCGCCCGGCCGGGCCGCCGCCGCCGCCGCCTCGTCGTCGTCGCCGTCCTGCACGCCCGCCGCGCCCCAAGGCCACCTGAGGACTCCGGCGCCGCCGCCCGTGGTCCCCGCCGCGTCGTCGTCGTCGTCTTTCGCCGCCGTCGTCAGGTACGGGCCTGGCCCGGCGGCCGCGGGCGGCAGCAGCGCGGGTAGCGACGGCGCCAGCCTGGAACTCAGCGCAGGTACCAACTCTCGGGCGCAACTTTGCTGCTCACTGTAGTGGGGGTCGGGGAGCTGGGCACCGCGCGCCCGGGCTGGATGTGGGGGTGCGGGCCAGAAGGCCGGGGCGTCCGAGCGCCTCACGCGCGGTCAGCAACTTCCAGAAGACTCCCCGCGGGGCGCCGCGTCCGGGGCTTCCGACGGCGCGCGCTTAACAGGTGGCTCTGCGGCCCGAATCCCGCGCGCGGCACCGTGGCGGCGGGCGGCTGGGGTCGCTCAGGTGGGCGCGGGACGCTCTGCGGTGAGGGCCGCGACCGTTCCAGGACAGGCAGGGGTGGCCCCTTGCGGAGCCCTCTTTTTCCGCTCCGCCTCTTGACTTTCTTCCCACTCGTACCCTTTTCCGCCCCTTCCGCTTCCGTCTGCTTTTCCTTCTCTCCGGTTCTTCTTTGCTTCTGGTGTGTCCCCTCCACCTCTCCGAGGTGTTCTGCGCTCGAGGTCCACTCTGGTGGGCGCTCCTGCCCTCGCCCCTTTTTTCTCTTTTTCCTGTGCGCTGGTGTTTGCCTGTGCACGCTGTCGCGGGGTCTGTGCGGGTCAACCCCCCAGGCACCCCCGAGTCCAGCCGTGACGTGCGACACCAGGCCCCCTCCGCACCGCCCCTACAGTGGACTCGGGTGTTTGGGGGAATCTCGCCCCTCCCCAGCCCCGGGCATTCAGGTCCCCGCTGCCCACGTTGCAGCCCACACTTCCTGCCTGGCGCGGGCTCCTGACCCTCGATAGCGTCTGGGCTCCACTCCTGCAGATAGCTCGTGGTTGGTCTCCATCCTGGGTGCAAGAGTGCAGGTGTCCCCACCCCAAAAGCCAGCGCACTGCCTGGCTGCTTTGGGAGGGACACAGGCTCGTGACCAGGCCAAGGCTGAAGCCTGCACCCAAGGGCACTCTCTGCTCCCTTGGGATGCACAGCCACGTTTAAGGGCTTATCAGAACTAAAAGTTCCTATTTAGGCCTTTCATTACACGTTATACTCCCTCCTCCCAAATTCTACCTATCACTGAATCTGAGGAATTTTTTTTCCCTAATGAAATAGATGCCTATGCTAAATGTTCTACTGTTTGTCAATATTTTGACACATGAGGGATTGGTTTTGTGAAAGAAAATCTAATTACAGGTTATAGTAAAGACTCTGTCACATCCCTCACTGACTTGAAGATATTTGAGTTTTGAGTGAGATTCTTATGTGGGCTTCCTTATTGTTTGTAGGGTTTTTTCCCCTTTTTTCTAGTTGCTCTTCGCAAGGTAGCCCATTGTGTTTTTATATTCATTGTTAGGCTACTTGCCCCATTTTCCAGTTTTTTTATTTTCTCCCTTAATGAGGTTCATGTTTTCTCTCTGGGTTTGAAGTGTTATTCTCCTATGCTTCTTGTTCATGTCCGTGTTTATTACCTCGTTTAATGTTGTCTGTCTTGTTTATTTTATCTTGTTTTCCAGCAGCTTAGGTCCTTTGCCCATTTACTATATTTTGCTTCTCTTTTGCATATACTCGGTTCTATCATGTGCATTGGGGATTTCCCTCTTATGTGCCTAGTTCAATTTTTTTTTTCCTAGTTCAATTTTTGATCTTTCTCTTTTGAGGCATTGCTGTCTTTCAGCCTTTTACTTTGTGCTCTATACATCTACCCCCTCTCATTTCCTTCATCCCTAGATTCAAATTGTTTTTCCTATCACATTTCCAGTATTGTTTCTTGTTTTCTGCAGCACTTGCTACCCATCCTTTCTATGGTTCCTCCTGCTCTGGAAGTGTCTTTGCTGTCTTTCCTTCATGTGGAATTTTGTTTGTTTGTTTCTTTGGTGTGTGGTTCCCCCTTATCTTGTTCTAAATGTTTGTTTTCAGTGTTTCTTGTAATGTGCTATTGAGCTTATTTTGTCTCTGTCCACAGGTAGGAGTCAACATCACTGAATCTAAAGGTGTGAAAGGGATTTTTTGATGCTTTTCTAACTTCCCTATAGTGCCTATAATTGTTGAGGTCAGCCAGCTGGCCTGTCTGCATGTCTTTCTTTCTCCTTCCTCTTTCTTAGCAAGGTCATAGAATAAAGTTGATAACATAGAGCTGGATGTCTAATGCTTCTTGTTGGAAAAAATAGGAATTGGATGATAGGTTTCTTCGATGCAATGAGGAAAATAGTCTGAGGGGGAAAAAAAGTCATAGGACTAGACATCAGTAATTATGGTCATGATATTAATCATTGATAGGCAATACCATCTCTGAACAGGCACGGTGATGTGAGTGGCCATCAGAGGGACAGCCACTTGAAGATCTGATTGGTTCTTTGAGGAACTAATGGTTCTACTTTGAACCAATGAGCTTGTGTTCAATCCACAGCCATTTAAACACATGAGGTGGGGATGGAGTGGTGCTTTGCCTGTTGCACACTCACAAAAGTGCAATTGCAGTGGCCTAGCCCACCTAGGAAACTGAAAATGGTCAAAACATCAATGTTGTGATGATGTGAGTCCAGACTAGAAGAGACCTAACAGACCGTCCAGGGGAAATGTGAAAAGATGAAAGGGTTGAAGTGAGGTTTATGTGCCATTAAGGGCCATAAACCATTGAGAAGAGAAATTTGTGATTAAAAATAGATTTTTTTCAACATTCTTATAAAATCTCATGAAGACTGTAATTTTCCTTAAAAGGGGTAGTACACCATGATTTTAAAAGCATATTTTTCCTCTGTGGGAGGGTTAGAGTTAAAACCCACATAGATCTTGATATGCAGCCTAAATTTGGCATCAGGAAATGGGAAATTGCATCTTTAAGCAGAGTACAATCAAAAATGAATTACAATAAATCCTATATAATTGCATAGGTCATTCTCTTTAATGAGATTTTATTAACCTGACTGTCAAGCTTTTGAGTCAGGCAGATATTTTATCTTCTTCAACTGATAAAAGTGTCAGCTATAAACCACCATATAAATATTCATAAATCTACACATCTGTGGCAGCCTATCAGCATCATTCTTTTGGACATTAAAAGCATTCTAATTACTTTCTGTCTAGCAGAGCTGAAATGCTGCCTGTTATAGTATGTGCTTGGCAGGCATGATTGCTTTTGTTTGCCATCACAAATAGCAGCATCCTATTTTATATACCGATGGTCCAGAAAATATTCAGGGATTGACTGAGCAGGATGAATATTAGAGCACCATCTGGTTTTGATAGCACCGAGTATATTAACTCATCTGTTAATTTTTGACACATCATTGATTTATTTATTTAGAAAAATTGCATCCTGTTTTGCTGTGTTGATGTTTGCCATTATGAAAAAAAATTGGATGGCATTTTTTTTTTTTTAAAGACATCCTTCATTGATTTAAGACAGGGTGAAGCTTCCAAAGATACATTTTCTTCTATTTTCCAAGCTATAAAGTCCTCTCTTTAAAAGAAGCTACATCAGTGTTTTAAGGAAATCATCTATTTTGAACTACTTGGAAATCCTTTTGGTAGACATAATATATGGCTACATAATGATAGGTTACTGAAAATTTTCTACTTCTACATTTTTAATATTAATATATTTCACCCTTCACTGGACTAAAAAGGTTACCACTAATCTTGAGTACTGTGATCTTCCTAGAAACGGAATTCTCCTAGGGATCTGTTGTGATGGGCACATTCCATTCAAGGCTTTCCTTACAAAGAAGAACCTTTAAGTAGGGAGACTATGTTTGATTGCCTACTTCCTATCCCTCCTCTTAATCACTTACCAGGTTTAAGATCGATTAAGCCACTTAAGTCCAGAAGAATTTCAATAAATGAATTTTTTAATTGAAAAAAATAATCGTGGTTTTAGATTTTGGAGTAAGACTAGGCACAATTTGCAGCATGATTTTATCTCCCAACGGGTTGCACAATAAAGCAAAAATAAGTTAGAGGGAAATGGTCATTTTAGAGTGCTTTGTGATTTATTAACATTTTATAGCATTTAATTTTAGGAGAGTTAGAAATAAAGTGGACAGTTTTAAAACCCCTTTTGCAAGCTGTTGACTTTGTACTTTGCTGCCATCTCTCGAGTGTGGAGCATTCTATGATTAGGAAAAAAAACAGTTAAGAATCAAGATGTTCACATTTTCCTCAGTTAAGAATCATGGATCAGTACCTGTGCAATTAAGTGGGAAGAGTTGCCATTTTCCTTATCAATTGTAACAGTAATAGTTTTTCTTATATTTCTTCATGTATCAATGTTAAGATATAAAATGCTATTCAAATATTTCAGAGTATTGAAGAGAAATTCAACTAAGGATTTACAATTGTTATTTTTGTAT